GGGTTGGGCCGGGGGGGGCGGCCCCTCCCCCACCAATCAATCAATCAACGAAAGAAGAAAAGAAAAAAAGAAAAAAAAAACATAGTTTTTTTTTTTTTCCCATTTTTCACCATGAACCCCATCCCCCCAGAAATTGTTTTCTTTGTAACTTTTTTTCTTTGAGGGGTTGGGGTGGGGTTTGCGCAACCCCAATCCACTTCCCCAAAACCCGCCCCTTCCCCCCCCCACTGGCCTCCACGTGGTCGTGAAGACGCGCGGCTGCTCGGCCATGGACAACCACGGCCGCCTCCGTGGGAGATTCATAACCTCACAGTGCACCGGTTCTCTTCGTAAGGAAGAAGAACAAGGATCTTCGACTTTGCATCGACTATTGTCAACTGAACGAGCAAACGATCAAGAATGCGGGGCCTCTCCCTCACTTCGACGACCTTCTCGAATGCTTGGGCAGTGCGACGGTTTTCTCAAAGTTGGATTTGAAGTCGGGCTATCACCAAATCTCGATTCACCCGCAGGATCGCTACAAGTCCGCATTCAAGACGCGATATGGGCACTGTGAGTGGGTCGCTATGCCCTTCGGCCTCATGAATGCCCCGCTGACTCTCCAAGCGACCATCACTAATGAGTTCCGCGTGATATTCGACCGGTTTGTCCTCGTTTACCTCGACGACATCCTCGTCTATAGCCGAACATTGGAGGAGCATCTCGAGCACCTTCGCTGCGTTTTGGGGACACTTCGCCACGCCAAGTTCAAGGCCAACCGCGACAAATAGAATTTGCACGTTAGGAGTCGGAGTACTTAGGCCATTTCGTCACCCTTGAGGGAATCGGCCCTCATTTGGATAAGATCCAAGCCATCCAAGAGTGGTCGGAACCGACGAACGTCACGGATGTTCGATCCTTCCTTGGGCTTGTTGGCTACTATCAACGCTTCATCAAGGGATACTCGAAGATTGCGGCTCCACTTTCCAAGCTCCAATGCGAGGACCGACTTTTCCACTTCGACGATGACGCACGGGCGACGTTCACGGCTCAAAGCCGCTTTGCTATCTGCGCCGGTCTTGCACATCTATGACCCCTTTTTGCCTATTCACGTCACTATGGATGCGTCAGGCTATGGCACTGCTGCCATCCTCGAGCAACATGATGGCGAGGATTGACACTCCACCGAGTACTTTAGTAAGAAAGTAGTCGCCGTTCACTCCATTGAGGATGCTCGAAAGGAGTTACTCGCCTTCGTCCACACAGTCAAACGGTGGCGTCACTTTCTCCTCGGCTGACGCCAATTCAGGTGGCCCTGAGGTGGGTAATGGACAACAATCCTTTGGCCTTTTACAAGTCACAAGACATAGTCAATAACCACATTGCCCGATGGATGGCTTAATTTGACCAATTTGACTTCATTATCCACCATATCCAAAGGGAGTCCAACCAGTTCATGGATGCTCTTTCCTGGCATTTGGACCTTTGTCTCGCGGTCCACCACACGTTTGACATTGACGACGACTTGCGGGACCACTTCATTCGCGGCTTAAGGCCGACATCAGGTTCCGAGATCGCTACACGCAATGTTCATCTCCGGACCCTCCGCCTTCACATTATCGAATCCAAGATGGCTACCTTCTTCTGCACTCACGGGGGAAGGAGCTACTTTGTGTGCCTAACGGTCGACGACTCCACACACGCCTTCTCGAGGAGTTCCATGACACTCCAGGCAAGAGACACTTCGGCGCCAACCGCAGCCAGAGGGGGTCTTCAAGAATCCTCAGCAAACTGCCACGTGGCACTTTTGGAGATGGTCACAGGCCAAGAGAGGAGAGGTAGAGTGCAAACACTCTTTTGCCAATAACTTTTCACCCACTAGGTGAAATTTGGCAAAAGAGGACTTGTTGGAAAGCTTTTTGAAAGGCGCTTGAAACGAGATAAGGCTCAACATCAGCCACTGCCTGCAGTAATAGCGCTTGTTGAAAAACCGAGCGCGGGTGGTTTTGAGAGCTTCAAAAAATAAAATTACGATCTTTGAAAGATTGTAGCTCCTCAACCACATCACAAAATTAGGCCATCTCTAACTTGTTGGAAGCGGCTCGTCGAGAGCTTTCTAAAAAGATAAAGACCAATACATTTGGTCCACAGGTGCAAAAGTTACAACCGAAAGAGTGCACTTGTGTCATTACGAGAAAAAAAAGTGGCGAACATTTTTTTTTTTTTTTTTTTTTTTTTTTTTTGCTCATGCCGCGTGGCAACTGATAGGTGGAGTGGGTGGGGGTGTGACGGACCCTCCGGGATGGCGGTCCGTCAGGATCAAGACGAAGGGATGAGGATGAGGGAGATGGAGATGGAGATGGAAGGGACAACGCAGCCCCAACGCAGACTCAACACGCACGTACTCCAAATTGAGCAAATGAAGAATGACAAAAAACAGACAACAGTTGGGGTATACCCCCAGCGGATTGACTGGACTGGACTGGCCTGATACCGACAGTGGTACCGGGCAGGACGGGATTGGACTGAAACAGTGCACGGCCTGTGCGGTCAGGCCACGGCCTGGTCCCACAAGCCAAACTGGCAAATAGCCAAATAGGCCCTGGCTGTAGGCGAGGGCAGATGAAGGCCCGCTGCACGATCCTCAGACCTGTAATGGATCGCAAGAGCCATAAACACGCTATCCGCAAAAGCCGCGGAACTCTGCAATAAAAAAAGTTGAGAAGTCTAGGATGCGAAGCAAGCTCCATGCTGAGTCCATGCGATGCAGCCTAAGCTACATAATGTCAAAAGAAAAGCAAATGTCTGGTATACATGTCCTAACTAACAACAAAAAATGAAATGTAGCAATATACAATCTTAAAGTCCTCGAGGCAATTGCCTCAGTGCTGAAAGGAAAAAGAGCAATATGGCATAAGATAATGTCCTGTTGCTGAACCACTAAGAGTGGGATGGTCTCAGAGGGGGTGAATGCAACCTAAGAATTGAAACTCCTAAGGGCGGTCACACATGAAGGTGGGATAGGTCATCAGGCTAAAGGTGGGAGAGTGGTAGCGAAACAAAACCAAGGACCCTAACAGATAGACCATCAGGGCGGGTAATGCTCAACAAAAGGATGACACCATGCAAGGTCGAGTGACTGAAGTCGTCGAGGTGGTCGATGACGTCGATGGAGTAGGAGTCGAGGTCGATGTCGAAGCAGAACCGCAAAACGCTGACATCCTGAAGAAGAGCTGATGATGGAGTACATGATAGTGTGAGTCAGTGGGGAGAGATGGAGGATAAGAGTGTCAGTCATCGTAATGCGAAGGGCGACAATGAGTGCGCTGTGGACGCTCGGAGGCGATCGTCTGTGGCTGAGGAACGGCCTCAGAGGGATCGGGCTCGTCCTCAGCAATCTCCTCAGCCGGAGGAGGAGGAAGAGGGTCAATCGGCTGAGCAGGGGCAAACATCTCAGCACGACGAGCACGATCATATGCACGCACCAACATCCTGGCGTGCTGCAAGTGCTCGAGGGGCTCCCAAGTAGCCTCCTCATCAGGATAACCCTTCCAACGCACAAGGTACTCGATGCGTGGAGGGATATCGCCGGTCACTCGGCGAGTTACGATGTCGGAAACGACGAACTCCTCGTGACCGTCCACCGTGATAGGGTGGAGGGCGCTCATACGGGCGGCGCTCGGACGGTCCGCGATAAGGACGCAGCAAGGAGACGTGGTAAACATCGTGTACGCGAGTCTGTTGAAGGTAATCAGGTAGCTTCACACGGAAGCTGACCGGACTAGCGGCAATATCAGAATCGACGGCCTGAAGGATGCGGCATGGACCGAAGAAACAACGCCTGAACTTGCGAAGCGTATCCGCTTCGAGCTGTAAGTGGCGTGCGTCGACGAGCACGTCGTCACCGACTTTGAATGAATGATCTATTCGTGATCCGTTCGTTTGTGCGGCCATGCGAGTCTGGGAGTCGGCTAGACTCTCGTGTGCGCGCTTCATAATCGCAGCCATGTGGGCGATCCAATCATCAAGCGCAGGACAACGAGTGTCTGGGCGCAACCGCGATGGTCGTAGGAAATCCGCAGGTACGCGAGGGTGGTAGCCAAGGTCGCAATAAAATGGCGACATCCCCGTGGCTGGCGAAACAGCGTGGTTGTACGCAATCTCAGCGTGGGCTAAGTGTAAGTCTCACTGCTGGTCATCCTAAACGAACTTTCGGAGGATATTACCGAGAGTTTTATTGGTGACCTCAGTCTGACCATCCGTCTGAGGGTGGAAAGACGATGAGAAGCGGAGCTAAGATCCGTACACCTCGTGTAGGCGTCGCCAGAATGTGCTGGTAAAGTGTGGGACATGGTCGGAGATGATGCTCTGAGGTAAGCCATGATCTCTCACGACTCGGTCGAAGACGATATCGGCGACCTCAAGAGCGCTAATGCGATAGGAGCACGGGACAAAACGTGCACGCTTCGTGAAGCGATCGATGACAACCAAGATAGCATCATGACCGCGCTCAGTGGGTGGGTGGAGGGGACCAATGAAATCCATCAAGATGGACTGCCAACGACCCTCGGGTATGGGTAAGGGCTGAAGTAACCCATACGGGAGGTGGTTCGCACTGGTCACCTCCTGACAGGTAGGACACTCCTGGATGTAGGTTTTGACGAAGTCCTTGGACTTCGGCCAGATGTATAGGCGGCAAACACGAGCTAACGTCTTGTGGAAGCCCATATGACCGGCAATTGCCTGGTCATGGAACTCTGCTACAGCCTGGACGCGGAGCTGTCCGGTGAAGGGAACGCAGATACGTGGTTCGAGCTGACCAGATCTGCCATGCCAGTACACGAGACCGTTCTCACCGAGGGAGTATGAGGGAACGGTCTTGCCACTCTGCAGTGTCGCGTGGATGATGCGATAATCCAGGCAGTGACGGTACTGGGTGCAATATGCGTTGTTCACCGACTGATCAACAGTGGTGACGGAGATGGCAGCAAGATGGATGGGTTCCTGATTGTGGTCAGGACGGCAGGACAAGGCATCAGCGACGCAGTTCGTTTCACCCTTGATGGGCTGAGTGGTGAAACTGAACTCGGATAAGTCACGCCACCAACGTGCCTGTCGAAGGGAGAGCTTGGGCTTCGTGAGGAAAGCCTGGACAACTGAGTTATCCGTGCGCACCGTGAAGGGCGCCCCGTGCAGGTAATGATGCTAATGCCGCGTAGCATAAACTACTGCGAGAACCTCACGTTCATCGGCAGTGTAGTTTATCTCGGCAGGCAGTAGCTGACGGGAGTAGAAGGCGATCGGGCAATCCTCAGCACGAGCCTCGACAGTCCCATCCTCCGCGATGGTCGGGGAGTAAGTAACGGGAGGACTTTCAGTGGAGGGAAGTGGTGGGAGGGTAGGCGTCAGTCGAGAAGCAGTGTCGGCAGGAGGGGGGGGGGAAAGGAGGAACATGAGGATAAGATGAATCCGGAGGAGAGGGAAACACCTGAGAGAGGACTGCTCCTACTGCAAAATATGACGCATTGGTGGTGACAATAAAGGGACGATCAAAATCGGGGAGGCGAAGAACCGGCGCACAAGTCACCGCCTTCTTGAGGGCGCAAAAGGCGTCCTTGCACAGGGGTGTCCAAAACCACGGCGGGTTCTTCCGGAGGAGGGKGGAGGTAAGGACGTAGGAATACCTAGCGTATCCCTGGATAAAATTACTATAGTAGCTAGTGAGGTCTGCGAAGCTGCTTGGCAGAGGTGGGGACGGGCCACTCTGCAATAGCAGTGATCTTCGCGTCGTCCATGTGGAGACCCTGGTCAGACACATGGTGTCCTAGGAAGTCCACTTTGCGTTGGGCAAAGCGGCACTTACTGAGCTTGGCATAGAAGTCATGCTTGCGTAAGCGCTGTAGGACATCGCGGAGGTGTCTGATATGGTCTTCTAAGGTACGACTGTAGACCAAGATGTCGTCCAGGTATACGAGAACGTATTCTTCAAGGATGTCCCTGAAGATGTCATTCATCGCCGTCTGGAAGGTGGCGGGTGCATTGGTGAGGCTGAATGGCATCACCGTGAACTCGTAATGGTCGAAGCGCGACCGAAAGGCGGTCTTCAGTTGATCCTCTGCGGCAACGCGGATCTGGTGGAAACCACTACGAAGATCGATCTTCGTGAAGAAGCGGTTGCCTGCCAGACGGTCAAACAGCTCATCCGCACGGGGCATGGGATAGTTGTTCTTAACCGTGTAACGGTTAAAGCCGCGGTAGTCGATGCAGAGGCGGAGAGTTCTGTCCGCTTTGCGAGCAAAGAGGACAGGTGCACCCCAAGGGGAATTACTGGGTTTAATGAATCCCAGTCGAAGGAGCTCCTCAAGCTGACGCTTGAGTTCCGTCGCCTCTGGAATCGAGAGTCGGTACGGTGCCTGATGGTGAACACGATAGTAAGGCACGAGCTGGATAGAATGCTCAACACCGCGCATCGGGGGAATCCCGTTGTATGAGAAATACGGGGGAAAGATGTCGCAGTACTCTCGAATCAGGTCGCGAACGGCCGGCTCTAAGTCTGCCGTGAACCGTGTGAGTTCCTCAGCGTCTGCGTCGGCATGAGACGTATGGGTGGACTCGACAGTCGACGACGCAGGGACCTCGAACGTGGAGGGGTATCCGCAGGCTGACGGGTGGACGTAGAGATGGGAGCCGCAAAGATGGAGGAAGGGTCAGGGGGATCGGGCTCCAAAAAGATGAGCTCAACCTCAGGACAGAGTGGATCATAGCGAAGAAGATCCATGGTGTTCACTGAGTAGAACGTGACGTCCTCCTGTCGTATGAAGTGAGCAAACTGGCGAGGGGAAGTGAAGGCGATGTTGGGGTGGGACCCTGAGGGACGAGGGTCCTGGGGAGGTAGGTCGGGAGGGGTGTCGCCTGTGGTCCCAATGAAGGGGACGCAATGGGTCTGACCACACTTCGTTTTGAGAACGAGTGTCTCGGTCGCCCATTCGGCCTCTGTGCCACGGAACCGGCGAGACCAGGGAGTGCCAAGGATAAAGTCGTACCCAGGCTCCAGCACATCGAAGTATGCGGAGGAATGGTAGCGTCGAGGTGCCTGGGTACAATCCGATGGCTGGAGGGTGCAGGAGAAGTGGAGGTTGGGAACCGTCTGATCGAAGAAGCGCTGTGTCTTGTTATCTCTGAGGGTAACGGAGATAGGAGAGCGAGACCCAGAGGTAGCTAGGCGAGCTTCCTCAACCACTCGAGGGTGAACGAAATCCCCCTGCGAGCCAGAGTCCCATAAAGCGCGGTACACCCTCGTAGATGTCCCTAGGCAAATAGGGATAATGGGTAGGGTGCGATCAGGGTCAGAATGCAGAGCGAGAAGATCTCGTGAGTCGCTCCTGACGAGCCTGAAGAATTCTCAAGTCCACGAGAGATGACACAACGTCATCGCAAGTCGCCAGTTGAGCGCTACAACGGGCTGAGCGAATGGCGCGACGCGTCGAAAGTCTCGAGAGGGAAGCGCTAGATGCGGCGGTCTGCTGTGAGGCAGACGGTATCTCGACAGACGATGGGGTAGGGGGAACTGCATCTGTCGTATCCTGAGGATCCTCTGGTGGGGTAGCCAAAGGGGCAAACCGCGACTCGGTGGTCGGGAAACCGACTACGTGCGAGGCCTTAGTGGCACACTGCACCATGGCTAGGTGGGTGGGGCTGGCCGAGCGGGGCCTGGGGGGACTGAGATCGACGCTGACGAGAGATGTCAGCATAGTGCCGATCGAGGGCGGTATGGTATGGACACTGTGAGGAGGTGTGTCCATCCAGGCGGCAACGAAGGCAGCCGCGACGGGCCTCGAGGGCGGCACGCTCCTCAGGGGATAGAGCTCCGCGAGGAGGGACAAAACCCTGCGGGAGGTCTATCTGAGGAACTGTGGGTGTGAGGACGCCAGCCTGTGCAACCCGACTGCGCGCACGACCCATAGCAGACATGGCCATCTGTAGGCGCTCGGCCACCGGGACAGTGTCGTCATCCAAGTGGTACTGGATGACGTCCCGAAGCTCGATGTCCTCAGGGGCGTCCCCAATAGTAGGGTCGAGCTCGGCTGAGGCGTCCTCTCCATACTCGAGAGAACTGTAGTGCAGAGAGAATGGCGCTCCAGGTCGAGCCGGGCGACGAAAACGACCAGCAAACGAGGAGCGGCCTCTGGTGGTACCGCGAGACTGGGAAGTGGCGGCTGGCCGCGAAGGGGATGGGGCGTTGGAGAAGCGACTGCACATCCTCTGGTACTGATGCGCAGCCTCATATGCCTGCTCCGCGGAAGAGAATGATCGTCGCCATAGCTCTAAGCGGTAGTCAGTCGGCAGGCTGACGAGGAACGGGTCGGTGAGTGTGACCTCCGGTAGGAACGTCTCGTCACAGACAAGGCGAGCGTCTTGAAACACCCGGATGTGACGCTCCAGGTCGGCCGGTACAAAGGACCCGGACCATTTGGTCTGGGTGACGCGGTCTAAGGCGTTAGTGGCGTCGTGACGAGCGCCAAAGCGATCCTGAAGGAAGGCCGCGAAGTCTGCCAGAGTGGGGACCTCACCCATGCGGAGGTGCTGGGTATAATGATCCTCCCACGCAGTGGAAGGGCTGCCTCGCAATTTGGTTGCGATCACATCGCACCACAGCTCCTGACGGGTGGTCGTCAGCGAGAGTGTGCGTGTTGCTATCTGCAACCAGTGAGAGACGCAGGATGTGCCATCATACTCGGTAATGTCCGTGGTGCGCACAGGAGGATGTCCACTGTGCTGATGGCGGGGGGAGAGAGATCGAGGTGAGTGCACTGCGGCGACGTAAGTCGGGGCCGCTGCAGGGACAGAGGTAGGGCAAGGCTGTGGGCCGTGGCCGCTGGCAGATGGACCAGCAGACGAGGAGGCAACGACCATGGGCAGCTGTCCCGGAATGGCTAGGCAAGAGGGGAGAGGCTGAGGAGCCGGTCGAGGGAAACAAGTGGGCATGATGGGGGTCGAGGAGGTGGTGGAGAAAGAAGAAGGGTGAGCAGCCTGTGAAGGGTGAGGCTGTCTCAGGGCCAGGATCTCCGCCTGAGCCTGCGCAATGGTGGCCTGTAAAGTGGCCACTCGCTGGGTGCGCGGGGTCGGAGGTGGAGGAGGCGGAGCAGGTGTCCCAGTGGGAGGAGGAATCCCAACCTGGGTCGTACCCTGCTGTGGGGGTAGGGGGACGAAGGCAGGAAGAAGAGGGCGGAGCCGTATTGCCGCGACCGGTGCGGGAAACTGGGAAGCAACACCGGGGTGGGTCGATGAAATTGCGGGGCCTGATGGTGGGAGAACTGGACCGCAGCACCTGCGGCAGCACTAGAGACGGTAGGGGCGACCGGGGCCGGGAGAACTGCCGTAACAGACGTGGTGGTTTGAGCGGCAGTAGCACTAGCCACTGCTGAGGGGGAGTGTTGGGACTGGCCCGCAGAGGAGAGGGAACCACGATGTCTCCGTCTCTGGAGTCGTGGGGAGCCGGACTCGCAGCCGGTAGGGGATCAGGTGTGGGAGTGGTGAGGAGAGCGATGAGGGGAGCCCTTGAGGCGGTTGACGTCGAGGGCAAGCGCATTGATTTGCGCTTGCAACGGTCCAAGCGTACTAAGTTG